TGTGGGGCCGCGTAGGGGTAGATCTCGTCCCAGCGGCGTGTGGGGGACCTCTGGCGGGCCTGCCGGCGGTCTCGGGGGCCATCCTGCGGTGAGGGCTCGAAAGGTCGGCTCGTGTTTCCCATCCGGGGCCTCTCTCGGGCCTCTCTTGGAGCTTTGTCGGGCCGTCGCTGGCTGTCGGGCTGCCTTGGGTGCCTCTCGGGCTCTGTTGGGCGCGTCTTGGGGCTCTATTAACCCGTCCGTTGGGTTCTCTGGCTTCTGGACATGTCATGCGAGGAAGCCAGAGAGAGCGCGAGAGCGCCCAGAAGTTTGAGATGTTGTCCTCCCTGCTCCCTGCTCTTAAGTAGAATATTGCAATACTGAGCACCGAGTGCAGAGAACGCTAGGAGCCTGGGGAACACTCCACTGCGTGCCTCGCGGTGACCTTTTGAAGGGCCGGCAAGCGGCGGCGAGCGAGGGGGGGAAGTGAGAACGAGAAGATGCGATGCGATGCGACGGCCCTTGGAGGCAGGAGGGGAGGCCCGCCTGCTCCGGCAGCGCGCCGGGCCGCAACAATAATGAACATCATATGGTTACAGAAGGCAATGAAGGACAGTGCAAGATGGGAAGATGGGTGAGACAACCGTGAAAAGACAAGAGCACGTGTGGCTATGCATGATAATCAATCGCAAGCGGCGCACAAGAGGAAGAAATACCAGAACTCTGCAACATGATGTGCAATGGCGGCCTCAGATTTCAGTCCATGCACCGGTTAATCTCGTCCATCGTCTCTGCTGCTGAGAGCGCGTCCCACCGAGCCTCCCGGAGCATAGAGTCGAGCTCTTGGGTGTACGATTGTCCAGGCACCCACTTGCCACACCTCCGTTTCTTCTGCTTGGGCCGCCTATCCACGACGATGCCCAGATCAAGCCGTACTGGTCTATGATCAGAGCCAACATCGACGCTTCCGTCCACAATACACTGCCGAATGTGCTTTTTCAAATTCATGTCAACTAGTATGTAATCGAGTTGAGACCGGCGATCTGCGTTCCGGAGGGTCCACGCCTCTTCGGAGGCCGTTGCGAAGAACGAGTTTGCAATAACCATGTCGTGCATCAAACTCCACTGTGAAAGCAGATCCCCCCTTTCGTTCTGGATTGGCATCGGATTACCGCCCATGAGACGAGGATCATCGTGTTCAGAACGAGGGCCAATCTCTGCATTGAAATCCCCTGCGATTAAAAACCGGTAGCCTCGCAACTGAGCGTCATGATAAAGACTCGCCACTTCACAGTAGAGTGCTTCAACAAGTCGGAGAAGGCCATCGCAGAAGGCGGCGGGACTTCTCAGAAGCCCTCGCGCCTTCTGAGAAGTTTTCTGCGTCTTCGGGGAAGGATCAGAAACCTTCTCAGAAGGCCGGGGAACTTCCGACCCTTCTGGGAAGGCCTTTTCCTTCTCACTTCCCCCCCTCGCTCGCCGCCGAGACAAGAGTGATAGCTCCATCTGGCACGTCAAGCACCTTTCCAGCAGGCCACGGGGGCGGAGGATAGAACGCGCCTGCGGCGGATCACCGCCGACCCCTACCTTGTGGGAGCGCATATGTGGACAGCCGTTGGACCGAAATCTTGCTTGCCTCCAGGGTGCCCTGGGTTTCCTGGGTTTCGATGGTTTTGATATGGAGAGCGTGGCTGTCCCACACCAAAATGCCATGGGCGTCCTGGGGTCTCAGGGTCTGGTTTCTTGTGGAAGGTTTCTTGTGGACGGGCCTCCACTGTATTGGACGGCTGTATTCCCCCGACCGTTGTGGGAACCTTTTGGGGGAACACTTGGGCCCCCCGGGGAGTTTCTGGGGGCCTCTTGCGGGTCTCTCAGGGCCTTCTTGGGGGGGCCTCTTGGGCCCTCCATGGCCTCTGTTGGCCCGCCTGTCACATTCGGAGGCCGTCTCGGAGGCCGCTCTGGGCCGTCTTGGGGCCCCCTCCTGGGGCGCTTTCGGGCCGGGCGGTCTTGTAGGTCTCTTGTCAAGAAACTCCCGAGGGGGTCTAGATCCTAGGGGTTTAGATCCTAGGGGTATCGGGCGTCTGCTTGATGGAAAGCATTTGGCTTGTGATGGAAAACATTTGGATTTAGATTGAAAACACTTGGGCGTTGATGGACATGGCTGGATGCCATTTGGTTTTATGATGTTTATGCTGATGGTTATGATTAAAATGGTTACATCATTATGATAATGGTAATAATGATTAACATGATGCATATGATGACGATGACGATGACGATGATGATGATGATGGTAATGGTGATGATGGCTCTTTCTTTGTTTGCGCAAGGTGTGTACTGATAACAACAATGCATCAGTACATCCCCAATCTAGCAGGAGGTATAAGCCACTCTGCCGCCCCGCGTCTATATGTGCATTCAGATGCGCAGCAGGAGGCTGAAGCACTCTGCTTCAGAGAGCGATCACGATCCAGGCATCCAGGCATCCAGGAATTCAGGCATCCAGACATCCATGCATCCATGCATCCATGCATTCATGCATCCATGCATCCATGCATCTATGCATCCATGCGTCCATGCATCCATGCATGCCTGCATCCATGCATCCATCACATCTACCATATCGACATATCGATCGCATCCATCACATCCATGCATCCATGCATCCCGTCCATGCATCCCTGCATCCCTGCATCCCTCCGCCCCCGCCGCTGGCGACGACGACGACGACGACGCCGGTGGCGCCGACGACGACGCCGACGCCGCGGCCGACGGCGCCGACGACGACGACGCCGACGACGACGGCGCCGACGACGACGACGACGGCGCCGACGACAACGCTGGTGCCGACGACGCCGACGCCGACGACGACGGCGCCGGCGCCGACGTCGACGACGACGACGACGATGGCGCCGTCGACGGCGACGACGCCACCGCCGACGGCGCCGACGACGACAACGATGACGACGACGATGGCGCCGACGACAGCGGCGACGACGACGCCGACGACCACGCCGACGACGACGACGCCGACGCCGACGACGACGACGACGACGACGACGACCACGACGGCGCCGACGACGACGGCGACGCCGCCGCTGACGGGGCCGACGACGACGACGACAGCGCCGACGTCGACGGCGACGACGACGACGACGACGTCGCCGACGGCGCCGACGACCACGACGACGACGGCGCCGACGACGGCGGCGACGACGACGACGAGGGCGCCGACGACGACGCCGACGACGACGACGCCGACGGCGCCGCGATCGAATCAAAATCCACATCGAAAAGTAGAGTGCAAAAACAATCAGAATCCATCAAAATCCATCAGAATCCATCAAAATCCATCAAAATCCATCAGAATCCATCATTTGATGGATTTTGATGGGTGTGTCTCGAAATGGCTTGGATTTTGATGGATTCTGATGGATTTTGATGGATTTTGATGGATTCTGATGGATTTTGATTCTCAGCTGGCGGCGACGACGGCGACGACGACGAAGGCGACGACGACGCCGACACCGCTGTCTGCCGCGTCCCGTCGATCGTCGTCGATCGTCGTCAATCGTCGTCGATCGACGATCGAAGATCGACGGACGACGATCGACGATGACGATCGACGACGATCGACGATCGACGATCGACGACAATCGAAGATCCACGGTCGACGATCGACGAACGACGAACGACGAACGATCGACGATCGACGGTCGACGATCGACGATTGACGAATGGTCGACGATCGACGACAGGCGATCGTCGATCGACGATGGACCTTCGACGGCTGACAATCGACGACGACGATCGAAGATGACGACGATCGGCGACGGCGACGATCGACGATCGACGACGATTGACGATCGACTACGAGGCTGACGACGAAGACGAAACCGACGACGAACGACCCGCGACCATGCCAGCCCGAGCCGTTCTGGCGCTCGCCCCCTCGCGCAGTCCATATCAAGTCCCTGTCTTGTTCCGACGACGACGACGACGCTCGACGCTGACGCCGACGACAGACGTCGACGACGAAGGCGACGACGACCATGCCGACGCCGAGGACGACGTCTCCGACGACTCCCACGACGACGACAACGACGAAGGCGACGACGACGACGCCGACGCCGCCGACGACGACGAATAGGGCGGGCGGGCTGCTGCTGCTTGCTTATCCCAGGCCTCGTCATCCTCCTTTTCTTCCTCCTCCTCCTCCTCCTCCTCTTCCTCCTCCTCTCCTCATCCTCCTCATCCTTCTCCTCCTCCTCCTCATCCTGCTCATCCTCCTCATCCTGGCTAGCAGAGTTGCGATGATGACGATAATGATGCTGATGGTAATGACGATGATGATGATGATGATGATGATGATGATGATGATGATGATGACGATGATGATTGCAAGCCCAGCCCAAGTTGCAATGGCCGATAGTGACAGGATGGATGGATGGATGAATGGATGAATGGAAGGGCTGGTAGGTGGGTTCATGGATAGATTGATGGATTCTGGCGGTTGTGCGTAATGGATGGATGGGTGTATTGATGGACTGATGGATGTATGGATAGATGAATGGCAATGAAAAGTCGATTATTCTCCAGCAGCGTTTTCTTAATAAAAACAATCAGGATCTAAACCCCTAGGATCTACACCCCCTCGGAATGTTCAGGATCTTGGGCCATCTGGGGGCCCTCTTGGGGCTGTCTTGTAGGCTTCTTGGGCCGTCTTCCTTGACCCCTCCTGGAGCCTTCGAGGAGGAGGCGAAGCCACTGGCATACTTCGACAAGTCGTGGGGAGGGCTAGAATGCAGCGCACGAGGACGAGGTGGGGAGGCGGATGAGACACCAGCACCAGAATCAGCATCGCCTACAGCAGCCGAGCATGCAGCAGCAAGCCGAAGAGGAGGAGCAGCAGCAATTGCGGAGGCGGCAGCAGCAGCAGCAGTTGACGAGTCTGCTCCAGCAGCTCGATGCCGTGCGCACCCCGACGCGGCAGCGAAGCGTGGAGAGCCGGGCGTTCGCACCCGCAGAAGAAGCTCGCCTGCCTCGAGAGCCACGACATGCGGAGGGAGGAGATCGCGTGGGTGCCGCGTGGGAGGACAGGACTGGAGAGGCGAGCGTGCAGTCAAAGCTCGGAGTGAGGGCCACTCTTGCATCGGAGGCGGACCCAGGCTTCTTCGATCTTTCCTCGTGCTGCTTTCGTGGGGCTCCTCGCAGATCCTGGCGCAAGAAAGGCCAGAAAGGCGCTTCGCGTCCTGTTGCAGGCAGATTGCAAGGAGACTTTGACTGCAGAGGACGAGGAGGATCAGGAAGGGGAGAGAGAGAGAGAGAGAGGGAGAGAGGAACTACGAATAAGGGTTTATATATATACGCACGTTTACGGTTGATGTGTGGGCTGAGGGTTCAGAGCGTGTAGCATCGGCCGTTCAGAGAATGCATGGCAGCTGTTCTGGCTCCAAGTGAGGCCCTCGAGGAGGGCAGGCTTCCTGAGGGCTCCTCCGCGCGCCTCGCCGCCCCGCGGGCCCAGCGGCTCGGCTGGTGCTCTGGGCGGCTCGCCCCCGGAAAGGGAGCCTCGCGCGCGCTGCTGGAGGTCTGCGAGCTCTGCTACCTCCTGGCGCTCGCGAGGCAGGCGGCCCGCGAGGCGCGGCTGGCGCCGCGGGACAGAGCGCGCCTGGTCGACCAGGTGCGCTTGCTGGCGGCCCAGTTCGAGGCACTTTCGACGCTCGAGCCCGATGCCGCCCAAGGCCAAGGCCAAGGCCAAGGCCAAGGGCAAGGCGAAGCCTCAGGCCAAGCCTGCACAGTGGTCGCCACTTTCGTGGGTTCCTGGAAGGTCCCGCGGAGTGGGAGGACACGGGGATTCAGTTGGGACGTTGCGGTTCCCTAGGGGCTGCGAAGTGCGCATTCGTCGCCATTTTCGTGGGCTCTTGCGAGGTCCAGCGGAGTGGGAGGGACGGGGACTTAGTTGAGACCTCGCGGCTCCTTGTGGGGGCTGGCAAGTGTGCAATGTGGCCTTTTTTCGTGAGCTCCTGGGAGGTCCCGCAGACTCGGGGATCCAGTTGGGACCTCGCGATTCCTTGGTGGGGGGTTCGAAGTGCGCACGTGTCGCCATTTTCGTGGGTCATTGGGAGGTCCAGCGCAGCCGGTCGTCACGCGGACCCTGTCAAAACCTTGCAGTTCTTTGTGGGGTTGCGGAGTGCGCAATTGTCGCCACTTTCGTAAGCTCCCGGGAGATCCCGCGGAGTGGGGGGCCGAGCGGACCCAGCCGAGACCTCGCGGCTCCCTGGGGGCTGGCACTTGCGTCAGGTCTTGCGCCCACCAGGGCTCGCATGCTTTCGCAATCAGATAGTTGCGCTTCTGCCAACGCTACGCCACTCATGTTTAGTTGAAATCGTTTATTTTTTGATTGGCGTTTTGTCGCCGAAAGCTTCGCCAGTAGAATGTCACTACTGACTTGCGAGGCAGGGCGGAGTGGGGTGTCACTAGGGGGCCACATGCGAACCCTACCCCTACCCCCCACGATTTCTGAGGGGGAGGGTGGGGTTCACTTCGCTCGGGAGCTCCCGAATGAAGTGAACCCCACCCTCTTCCTCAGAAATAGTGGGGGGTAGGGGTAGGGTTCGCATCTGGCCCCCTAGTCACGCGCACCTCGCCGAGACCTCGCGGCTCCCTGGGGGGCTGGCCACTGCGCAGCAGCTGCCATGTTCGTGGGTTCCCGGCAGGCGGGGTAGAGCGGGGCGCCACGCGCACGTCGCCGAGGCCTCGAGGCTACCTTTTCGGGGCGGGGCAGCGCGCAACTGTCGCCACTTCCATGGGCCCCTGGGAGGAGGAGGAGAAGGAGGAAGAGGAGGAGGAGGAGGAGGAGGAGGAGGAGGAGCAGGAGGAGGAGGAGGGCAGTGCGCAACTGTCGCCACGTCCATGGGCTCCTGGGAGGTCCAGTTGAGCAGAGGTGTACGTACGCAGACCCAGCCGTTACTCCTGTATTCCCGCTGCTGCGCTCTCCTGATTTCATGTTTGGGCGCTCGTGCGCATTGCGGGTCCATCAGTATGCTCGTTTGTAGTGAGCGATCCTGAATATAGCCGCCATATGTTTAGAAAGGGTTGGGTACGTCACCGGGTATGTTGTTGTGGTTGTTTCCTCTTTGCTTGTTTTTATGTTTCTCTCTCTCTCTCGTTGGTTTTGGTTTCTCTCTCCCTGTCTCTATTTGTTGTTCCTCTCTCTCTCTCTCTCCTACTCCCCCCCCTCTTTTGTGCCGGCCCGTTCTAGCATGGTGGAGCCCCCTCCCCTACTGGCTGGGAGGCTGGCTAGTCTCAATAATCGGACCATCACGCGGAGGAGCAGGAGACATTCCCTTCCCTCGTGCTTCCCGCCCACTCCTCGCTCGGGCAAGCGTGCCAGCATTCCCTGGGCGACACCAGGAGGGCTTACCGGGAACATTTCCGCCCTTGGCAAGGCCGAGCGGCTGAGTCGGGCCTGAGGGTGAGGTTGACTCATTGACACCATCATGTACATCCACCAGGGATCTTAAGAACAAGCGTGAAGTCTGCTTAAGAAAATCAAGAAATCATGAAATCAAGACTGCTCAATCATTGTTCTTCTTAATTCAATCATGAATCTGGACTGGGCCCTGAGCGTTTTCTTGGAGCTTCTGTTCTTCGTGGATTATTCGTGTCTACAGGCCAAGACTACTGTTTTAGCAACCGCCTAAAGCGAAGCGGATTTTCGCAGCGTGGAATGTTCTTAACTCTGAGCTGCGATGTAGCTGCTCCTAGTCATGTTCCCTCACTCCTCACTCCTCCTGCTGCTGACCCCTGCCGGCCCGCCTCAGTCCTGCGCGCACACCCCTTTCTGGCGCTTGCCCGCCTCCGCGCAGGTGCTGGGAGTGGACCCCGACGTCCTGGAGAGGACGCCTGGGGCATGCCCCTTCTTTCTGCCCCTCGCCCTCCCCTCCAACACCCGCCCTCAGCGGGGGTTTGTGAAAGGTTAGGGTATGGGCTCCCCCCCCCCGGGACCTCCCCCCCAAAAACCCTTCTCAGATAGTCTTTGGGGGTGGTAGGGGGTGCTCGCCTTTCTTCGGGCAAAGCATGGGGGCCTCGCATGCCCTCGCAGTCCCGCTCTTAGAGCGCACTAGCTAGCGCCGATTAGCGTTTGGCAATGAATGCGACGTCGATTAGCGCTGACTGGCGTCGATTAGCGTCGATTTAGCGTCGGTTAGCGTCGATTCGCAAGTGCCACCGAGATGGTATGGGAGACTTCCAAGAGTTGCCGCAAAACTCTTCCCTGCCCTTCGCCCTCCCTGGAGATCCGACGTTTGGAAAAATGTGTGCAACGCATCGCATCAAATCACAACCAGAGCCCTACAAGGTTGGTCGCATTAACGCGACGCCGCGTGGTGGCTTTTGACGAGTCGCCGTTGTCGAGCGGCCTGTGCAGAGTTGAGAGGTGCATGTGGGCATTCTTTGTTGAATGGCCCCTTCAAAGTTGACTGACGCGCTAGGCTCTTGGCTTGATGCTTCTCGCCCGCGCACCTCGGTGCGCTTGGTTCAACTTTGGAGGGTGGTGGCGAGCTCCACGCGGCGCGATTCCGATTTTGTGTCGTCGATTGTGTCCAGTCGTGTTTTTGGATACCGTCTGTCCAGTCTTGTGTTTTGTCCTTCGTGACTTGTGGCCCGCCTCGTGCTCTGTCATCCGTTCACTGTGTCCGTGCCCCACCTGTCGGCGGCATTGTTTCGGGCCGGGTCGATCCGTGAGGGCCCCGATGCCCGAGGCAAGGCGAGGTCTTCTCTCAGTCCTCCTTCTCCTTCTCCCTCCTTCTCTCCTCCCCTCCTTCTCTCTCCTCCTTCTCCCTTCTCTTCTCCTCCCTCCTCTCCCTCCTTCTCCTCTTCTCCCTCCTTCTTCCTCCTCCCTCCTCTCCTCTCCTGTCCTCCTCCTTCTCCCTCCTCTTTTCCTCCCCTCCCTCTCTCCCTCGCCCCCCCGTCGCTGTCGCGTGGGGTGCGTTCGCCTTTCCCCCGCGCGGAGCGGCGCCCACGCGGCGCCAGGGCAAGCCGACGCCGTGCCCTGGCGCGCACCCTTCTCGGGTGGGGTCGCGCGTGGCCCTGGCGTCGAGCGCAGCGTCGCCGTCGAGGAGGGCGCGCAATGCGGAGGGGGGGCGCGGTCGAGACAACGGTTCTCCAGCCTTTCGGGGCCTCCTGGAGGCTTTTTTCGTCGCCACGGCGGGATGCGCGTCGAAGGACGGTTCAGAACGGACCCCCGGGGGCGAGGGGTCCGGGGATCGACGTCGAGCGGACGTGAGCCAGGCGGGGGAGCCGCCGTGGTCTCGGCCGGCCCTCCTCCGAGCAGCAGCAGGAGCATGGTGCACCGCCTGGCCGCCGTGGAGGCGCAAGCCCCTGTGGCAGCGCGATGGGTTCAGATCCCAACCGGACGCGTGAGATCCCAACCGGACGGTTCAGATCCCAACCGTCTAAAACACCAGGCACGGTCAGATCCCAACCGAGGAGGAAGCGAATAAAGAAAACATATTGAAAAGTTACCATGGTTGTTCATTGCTATCTGAAATTGCGATGGACACATTGCGGTTGGGATCTTGCGCGTCTTTTGCTGAATCGTAGTAGTGGTAGAAGTAGTAGTGGTAGTAGTAGTAGTAGTAGTAGTAGTAGTAGTAGTCGTAGTCGTAGTAGTAGTAGTAGTAGTAGTAGTAGTAGTAGTAGTAGTAGTAGTAGTAGGCGTAGTAGTAGTAGTAGTAGTAGTAGTAGTAGTAGTAGTAGTAGTAGTAGTAGTAAGTAGTAGTAGTAGTAGTAGTAGTAGTAGTAGTAAGTAGAAGTAGTAGTAGTAGTAGTAGTAAGTAGTAGTAGTAGTAGTAGTAGTAGTAGGAGTAGTAGTAGTAGTAGTAGTAGTAGTAGTAGTAGTAGTAGTAGTAGTAGTAGTAGTAGTAGTAGTAGTAGTAGTAGTAGTCGTAGTCGTAGTCGTAGTAGTAGTAGTAGTAGTAGTAGTAGTAGTAGTAGTAGTCGTAGTAGTAGTAGTAGTAGTAGTAGTAGTAGTAGTAGTAGTTAGTAGCCGTTGTAGCAGCAATAGTAGTAGTAGTAGTAGTAGTAGTAGTCGTAGTAGTATTAGTAGTAGTAGCAGTGGTAGTAGAAGTGAAAGTAGTAGTAGTAGCAGTAGTAGTAGTAGTAGTAGTAGTAGTAGTGGTAGTAGTAGTAGTGGTAATAGCAGTAGTACTACTACTAGTAGTCGTAGTCGTAGTCGTAGTAGTAGTTGTAGTAGTGATAGTCGTAGTAGTAGTAGTAGTAGTAGTAGGAGTATAGTAGGAGTAGTGGTAGTAGTAGTAGTAGTAGTAGTCGTAGTAAGTAGTAGTAGTAGTAGTAGTAGTAGTAGTAGTAGTAGTAGTAGTAGCAGTAGTCGTCGTCGTAGAAGTCGTAGCAGTACTTAGTAATAGTAAAAGTACTAGATATAGTAGCAGGAATAATTCTAGTAGTAGAAATAGTAGTAGTAGTAGTAGTCGTAGTAGTAGTAATAGCAGTACTACTGCTAGTACTAGTAGTTGTTGTAGTAGAAGAAGAAGTAGTAGTAGTAGTAGTAGGAGTAGTAGTAGAAATAGTAGTAGTAGTAGTAGTAGTAGTACTCCTGGAGGGTGTTGTAGTATTAGTAGTGGTAGTAGCAGTACAATTCGTGATATTAGTAGTAGTACTGTGGAGGGTATAGTAGTACAAGTAGTAGTGGTTGTAATAGTAGTAGTAGTAGTAGTAGTAGTAGTGATATCGTGAAATAGTTGATGTAGTACGACTAGAAGTCTGAGTATTAGTAGTAGTAGTAGTAGCAGTAGTAGTAGTAGTACTCGTACTAGTACTAGTAGTAGAATTGGTAGTAGTAGTAGTAGCAGTAACAGTAGCATTAGTAGTAGTAGTAGTAGTAGTAGTAGTAGTAGTAGTAGTAGTAGTACAAGTAGTAGTAGTAGTAGTAGTAGTAGTAGTAGCAGTAGTAGTAGTAGTAGTAGTAGTAGTAGTAGTAGGTAGTAGTAGTAGTAGTAGTAGTAGTAGTAGTAGTAGTAGTAGTAGTAGTAGTAGTAGTAGTAGTAGTAGTAGTAGTAGTAGTAGTAGTAGTAGTAGTAGTAGTAGTAGTAGTAGTAGTAGTAGTAGTAGTAGTAGTAGTAGTAGTAGTAGTAGTAGTAGTAGTAGTAGTAGTAGTAGTAGTAGTAGTAGTAGTAGTAGTAGTAGTAGTAGTAGTAGTAGTAGTAGTAGTAGTAGTAGTAGTAGTAGTAGTAGAGTAGTAGTAGTAGTAGTAGTAGTAGTAGTAGTAGTAGTAGTAGTAGTAGTAGTAGTAGTAGTAGTAGTAGTAGTAGTAGTAGTAGTAGTAGTAGTAGTAGTAGTAGTAGTAGTAGTAGTAGTAGTAGTAGTAGTCGTAGTAGTTAGTCGTAGTAGTAGTAGTAGTAGTAGTAGTAGTAGTAGTCGTAGTACTAGTAGTACTAGTAGTAGCAGTAGTAGTAGTAGTAGTAGTAGTAGTAGTAGTAGTAGTAGTAGTAGTAGTAGTAGTAGTAGTAGTCATGAGAATATCTCAGAATCTTTCCGAATATTTCAGAATCTCTGCAGGAATCTCTCCGAGGCTCGCAGGAATCTCTCAGGAATCTGTCAGAATGTCTCAGAATCGATCAGAATCTCTCAGAATCTCTAGGAATCTCTCAGAATGTTTCAGAATCGGTCAGATCTTTCAGAATCTCTAGGAATCTCTCAGACTGTCTCAGAATCTCTCAGAATCTTTCAGAGTCTTTCAGATTCTCTCAGAGTCTCTCAGAATCTCTCAGAACTCTCAGAATCTCTCAGAATCTCTCAGGATCTCTCAGAATCTCGCAGAATCTCTCAGAGGCTCGCAGTGGCTCTCAGAACCTTGCAGAGGTTGGAGCTTTTCAGAGGCTCCAAAGTGGTTGGGATCTCACGCGTCCCACGTGTCCTTGACGGTTGGGATCTGAACCGTCCGGTTGGGATCTCACGCGTCCGGTTGGGATCTGAACCTTTCTCGCACGACCCTCGCGGGCTGTGTCGGTGTCTGCCTGCCTTTGGCGAGCGTCGGGAGCGGAAAAGAGGGGGGTGATGACAAGGGGGGTGTGGATATCATGGCGGGGGCCATGAGATCTCCCCAGATTTCGCGGCGCCTCTTCTTATTTTATTACGTCCCTGGCCCCCCCGCTGGGCCGCGCACGTGCCGCCGGTCATGATTTGCACCCCCCCCCTCTTGGACACCCCCCTCTTGGCCGCCCCCGACCTGCCTGTGGCGAGCGGCTGGGGAGCACCGGGGTCCAGCAGCGCTCGAGGTACGCACTGGTTCCCAGTGCAGTCGAACAGGCACCAGATGCTACACGGCAGACGTGACGAGTTGACCCACCGCGCTGTGATCGCGGACCCCTTTTGCGCTATCACACTTCGTAGCTGGCAGGGTCGGCCGGCCGAGTGATGGGAAGCACGACGACCGAGTACGCCACTCGGGGGCCATCGCGTGACCTCGACGTCGAGCAGCTGCCACCAATCAAGGGTGTCCCCGATGATGTAGGCGTTTCCGCAGACGTGAGAACATGTCATGCGGGGTCGGGTCCCGTGCGTCTCAGAATGGCCAGCTCTTTGCACCGCATGTGGTATGTAGCATCTGAGACTGTCGCTGGGCTTTGACCTGTTTTTCTTGCGCGCGTCGCCTCGTCCCTCCACGCGGCAGACCCTCTTGCTCTTCTGGCCTACCGCGCCCCCTAAGCGTCGCCTCGTCCCTCCACGCGACAGACCCTCTTGCTCTTCTGGCCTACCGCGCCCCCTAACTACCCACCCCTCTTCCGCCCTAGCATAATGCGGGAGTGAGGACGCGGGAACTGAGGATCAGGAGGGGACAATGCATGCAAGATAGTATGAAGATGATGAGGAACATGATGATGCTGCTGATGATGATGGTGGTAGTTGCGCTTATAATGGTGATGCTTCTGACGATGATGGCGATGTTTTTGTGATGGCAGTGATGAGAGTGTAACTGATCAAGACAATAGCGTGAACGAGGACGAGGACGCGAACGGGTTGGACGCGAGGGAAGGTGAGGAGGATGACGAGGACGATGACGAGTCGAACGAAGAGGAAGGAGGTGGAAGAGGCCGAGAACGAGACTGGGGAATATGTGGAGGAGAAGGGAGAAGCCATGTGGACGTGATAGCAGAAGTGCAGTCGAAGCGATACAGTGGAAGCCAGTCCACAAGAAGCCTTCCGCAAGAAACCCAGCCCGGAGACCCCAGGACGCCCATTGATTTTTGGTGTGGGAACGTCACGCTCTCCATAGCGGAAAATTGGAAGCTCAAGAACCCAGGGCACCCTGGAGACATGCAGGGTGTTTCTTGGCCTGGGCCCCCACTTTACAGCGATGGCATGATGCTCATAGTAACCTGCCTCCGCGGGGGCGACAGGCTGACAGCGCGGGGGACCCCTCACAAACATGAAGCGACGTTGCGCCCCACCAGGGAGGGCCGAGGCGACAGCTTGCGGCGCCTGCCGGTCGTCCTCGGACACCGCGTCAATCCGCACGGACACTGCCACCGCGACAAGGGCGCACGGTTGGCCAGGCAGTGCCAGGACGCCTCCCCCACGGCAGGGCACCGCCTCGCGCAGCGAAGGGCTCCATTCCTCCTCCTCCTCCTCCTCCTCCTCCTCCTCCTCCTCCCCCTCCTCCTCCTCCTCCTCCTCCTCCTCCTCCTCCTCCTCATCATCATCATCATCATCACCTCCTCCTCCTCCTCCTCCTCCTCCTCCTCCTCTTCCGCCGGCCGTCCTGGCCTGCGCCGCGGCACCGGCTGCAGCGGCATGTGCTGGCGGCGCCGACCCGCACGGCGAAGGCCGCGGCCGACACCGCCGAGCGCGCGACCGCATCGGCGCCCCAGCGTCCACCGCCGCACGCACAGCGGCCGCTACAGATGTGGCGCCGCTTGCAGCGGTAAGAGCCCCGCTGGCCTGGTCCACGGCGGCTATCCCGCGCGTGGCCAGGTCCAGGCACGCTTCCGCTTGAGCCGGATAGCTACGGAAGAAGGAGGGACGAGGTGGAAGGAGGACGAGGAGGACGAGGAGGGTCGACGAGGAGAGGATAGGAGAGGTTGACGACACATAAACGAGTCCGACTCTGCCTCGCTCGACTCTCTCAACGAGCGATGCTCGGCGGCCGCGCGCTCTACCCCCTGCTCCCGCCGCTGCTGCTGTCTTTCGTCTGGCAAAACTTTCGGCGGACTATTCGCTAGAGGCGTTCCATGGACTCAGGGAGGGCCCAAACAATGCCTTTTCCCTTCTCAGTCTGCGGATGCTGCCACTCAGCATCCGATTCCAGCGGTGCTGATGAACATCCGACGCAATTCTTCATAGCCGTGCCAGGACAAGCAGCACACCTCCCTCGAAGTGTGGGCCCCGCACTCCGCACATCCGAGGCAGAAGGCCTCCTGTCCTTCTCCCTCCCGGGGTGGCGGACGACGACGACCACGAGGTTCCGACGGGAGGAGGATGAGGAGTGACCAGTGCACATCCAATACTCGCCAACAATGTTGACATAATCCCTCCCTCCAAGTCCCGCCCGCTCGAGCCTCCTGGCCCCGCAGGATGCACGACCGGGACCTCGGGCTGGCCTCGAGCGGCACACAGGACCCGAGGAGGTGGCCGAGGAACAGGCGCAGCAGGTTGGCGGCGCGCACAAGGGTGGCAGGGGGTGAGGGGGGAAGGCTTTTTAGAAGCACTCCTGCATCTTAGAAGGCGCGGGCCTTGTCTATAGATGTAGGGCCGTCGCCTTCTAAGAAGCAGCCTCCTTCTTAGAAGCTTTGCCCCTTCCCCCATACCCCCCTCTGCGCGCCGCCAAGCAGGAGCAGTCAGAGGAGGAAAAGGTACAGTACCCGTACCGCTGCGTACCCCAGACCCCCTCGAGTCACGAAAAATCGCTACGGACGGTTTTCGGCCATCTTGAGCCTCTGGGAGCCATTACCTGGCCTCAGGACCGTCAAAAGACGACTCGGGGCAAAACACCGGTGCCGGGGAATGAATCGAGGCCTCTGGGGGTCGACGTTATGACAAAATCATGACGTCGGGGGTCTGGGGATAGCTACCCCTGCCTCGGTTTCGCCTTTTTCTGCCTCCTGGGAGGCCCGCGACGCTACCGCTGGATTCGCCTCGAAGTCCTGGTCAGAGCGCACCCCCAGAGAGGTCCGTGGAGTAGCAGTATCGGTGCCTCGTGGTTTCCCCAGGAGCAACACGACGTGGAGGACCGGAAGGGGGAAGGCAAGGGGAGCTGCAGGAAGCAAACCGAACAGGAGGAGGAGAGGCAAAATTATCAACGACAACGGTCTTCGAGATGGCCGTGCTGGCATAGGCGAACGGCGCGATTGTCGCAGCGCTGTTACCCACTAAGCCTGATTGATAGCACCCTCGCCCACGGCGGTGACGAAGGTGGCAGGGCACCTCTCCTGCAAGAGGAGGTCGTCGAGCTTGCACGCCCAGCAGTAGATGGCGTCATCCACTGCCCGCACCGCTCTGGTGCCCTTCGGCCAGAACAGCCTGCGCTAGAGCATGTCCCCGGGCCGGACCAGCAGCCGCCAGGCACGCACGTTGGCGGACTCCGACGCTAGGTGGTCCAGTGCTCCCTGCGCCGCACCACCACACCAGGGGGAGGGGGAGGAGGACCAGCGTACGGCCAGAACGCGTCAGCGATGCTGCAACGAATGGGTACGTCGAAGTTCTGCAGGTCCTGCTCTCGTTCCTCCGCAGATGTTGCACGCTCATCGGTTCCATTGCCGTGCAGGGCACAAACTGTGCACGTTTCTCTTCCAGCATAAGCGGAGCAGCGAGTCATCGCGGGCGCGGGCCTATCGCAGGACAAACGAGCACCATTTGATACTGGGAGGGAGCTGTAGGCCGCGCGTGTCTTGGAGCCTCCAAATGGGCGTGGTTCCCCGCGCTTCTCCTGCTCGCCTCTCCTGTCCCCCTCCGTCTCTCTCCTCCCGCTCCCTCTGGTGTGCTGCTACTGGGTTTATATTTCCTATATGAGCGGCCGTTCGGGCTGCACGGGAACGTCGAACAAGGCCCTTGCCCTTTCCTCTCCTCCCTCGTCCTCCTCCTGCTTCTTCCTCCTTGTGTGGTATCCCGCGCTAGCTACTCAGACGCTCCTCAATCGCTCGTGGTGGCGCAGCCTTGCTGTGGTGACCCGCTATGACTTCGAATCGTGGTGTCTTCGTCGCATGGAAAATCCTTATGGGCAGGCAAAAAGGTGTGGCGAGGTGCTCGCACAAGAGGAGGATCAAAAGGGGGATGGGGTAAAGGACAAGGAGGCGGAGGAAACATCGCAGTGTTAGGTAAAGTAGAGGAAGGAGCGAGAGGATGGGGAGGAGGACAGCAGCGGCGGAGGATCATAGAAACAAAGAGGGAAATAGGAGGGGGGAGGAAGACGATGAGGATTAGGAAGACCAACATGACGAGCAGATCGGGAGCGTGGAGCATGCCCTGGCTCTGGGCCCGAGTACCCAAGTCCAGAAAAAGGTGGTGAGGGACAGGCGCGTAACGGGGGACGATCAGTGGGGAGGGCAGCAAGGGCTGCAGAAGACGGGCGCTCTGAGGCCCCTGAAAAGGGGCCCTTTCGGGCCCCAGAGGGGGCCTTCAGCGCCTGAAAGGTGCACCTGTCTCCCCTCCATCATCCATCGCCCGCCCATGAAGAGGCGCCCAGTAATGCGCAGCAGCCACCGGGAGCAAACACCGCACGCCTCGGGCGGGCACACGCACGGCACGGCACGAGGCTCACCAGTAGAATAGCAAACCCGTGGCGCACGAACGCCGCGCCCACGGCAGTGAGGACCACAGCAGAGTCTCGGAGCCCCGAGGGGGCATCATGACGTACGGTCGGACCGAAGTATAAGATCGAAGTCGGTTCGGAGAGGGTACCCTGATGTTCTTCGTGTTTGTCTGATGCTCTTGACTGCCAGGGCGCCTCAGCAACGGCCGGCCACCCTGGCCACTCCTGTCGAAGATCTTCGTGCGGTGAGTGCTCTCTTGCCCCGCCCGCTCTCCGCGGCCGCCTTCCGCCTTCCCCCCTAGTGCCGCCGGACAATTTTGTATGCCGAGCCCCAGACTGTGAGAGGGCGCGTGCGGATTACCTCTGCGAGCTGCCAGCCGCGCTGCGCCGGAAAAAGTGTTTTGGCCAGCGGAGGGTCTCGTGTTTCTGGAGGGTGCTTTTCTGTCTCAGGTCCGGCCGCACTTCACGAAGAGCTTCGGCAGGAGCCTGGACTTCTCCCGGACATGGGTCATGTGTCAGTTTGACCGGCGTCGGGGCCTCCACGGACATCCAGAGGAATACCATCATCTTCACATCGGCGGTGGCCTCTTCACATCGGCGGTGGCCTTGCAGATCAAGACCATCTTCGTCGCGTGCGGCTTGGGCACCATGTTCAAACAGCGCAGCCCGAAGCACTCGGCATCGCTCGGACGTGTGCATTTTTCCTTCGGCGAAGGCCATCGAGGAGCATCCTTGATCATTTGGCAAAGAAACCACGCACGAAACCGAACAAAGCACAGGGAATGGACGTCCGAGCGTTTGCCAGAGCGCCGCGCAGACGCGAGCGGGCCTGCGGCCCCGACGGTCGAGGCTGGCCTGGCCCCAGCCGCGACCGCTCCTCCGCCTCCTCCGCCTCCTCCAACTCCTCCTCCGCCTCCGCCTCCTCCTCCTGCTCTTCCTCCTCCTCCTCCGCCTCCTCCTCCTCCTCCTCCTCCTCCTCAGGGTACCCATACTCCTCCTCCTCCTCCTCCTCCTCCTCCTCCTCCTCCTCAGGTACCCACTCCTCCTCCTCCTCCTCCTCCTCCTCCTCCTCCTCCTCCTCCTCCTCCTCCTCCTCCAGCGGATTTCTCAATCTGCTTTTCCTGGCTGTTGTCGTGGAGCAAACAGACCACATGGGCGAGGCCGTCGGAGGCCTTTGGTGAGGCCTGCGCCGCGTGTGCGCCCCGCCCGCCTGGGCAAGGGGTGCGCCCGTGCAGTGCGGTGGGCATCCGCCCCGGGCGGCTGTCCCGAGCAGCAAGCCCTGGGGCCATGGCGGCGAGATCGCGGACGGAGCAAGGCAGATCATGTTTTTGTTACCCCATAGGCCATGAATCGCATTACGCTCCCCGCCTGTTCTGTGCCCCCCCCCCCCGCACCCCTCGCATAACGTAACGCCCCCCCCCCCCCCCCCCCCCCCGGCCCGCACTTCCGCAGTGGATCTACACGGCGGGGGGGGGGCGTAGTGTTACGTTATGCCCTCCCCCGCCCCCCCATAACGCTGGTTATCGCCGCGAATTGAAAAGTGTTTTAGGGCTGAGCAGGCTAGCGGCGAGGACCGAGCTGACAACGATAGGATATCATGAGCAACGTGCAGACACAGAGGAGAGATGATGATGATGATGATGATGATGATGATGATGCTGATGATGATGATGATGATGATGATGATGATGATGATGATGATGATGATGATGATGATGATGATGATGATGATGATGCTGATGCTGATGCTGATGCTGATGATGATGATGCTGATGCTGATGCTGATGCTGATGCTGATGCTGATGCTGATGCTGCTGATGCTGATGTTGCTGCTGCTGCTGATGATGATGATGATGATGATGATGATGGTGATGATGATGATGCTCATGATGATGATGATGATGATGATGATGATGATGATGATGATGATGATGATGATGCTGATTATGATGATGGTGATGGTGATGCTGATGGTGATGCTGATGATGATGCTGATGCTGATGCTGATGCTGATTATAATGCTGCTGATGATGGTGATGATGATAATGATGATGATGATGATGATGATGCTGATGATGATGGTGATGATGCTGATGACGATGATGATGCTGCTGATGCTGATGCTGATGATGATGCAAAAATGATGCTGATGCTGATGATGATGCTGATGATGATGATGATGCTGATGATGATGATGATGATGATGATGATGATGATGATGATGATGATGATGATGATGATGATGATGATACGGCTGTTATAGTGTGGCAGCAGCAGATGATCATGATCTGGACAAGTGGTACGATGAATGACGAGAATAGGCAGGATGAGCAGGTCAAGACACAGGAAGGGGGGAGGACGGGAGGAAGGACGAGGAGAAACAAACATAGGACAGCAAGCAAGGATGGGCAGTGGTAGTTGGAGGAGCAGGAGGGAGGGAGGAATGGCAAGGAAGAGGATGATGAGCGGGATTCAGCTCTGATTCATTCGCAATCGCTCTGTGCTCGTGGCCGCCCTGCAGAGGGGCGACGGGACGCTTTGTACCGAGAGTGCGCAGCTGCCGTGCCGAGTGCCAGGGGACGAGCGCCCCCGTCTTCTTCGTGCTCTGCCTGCTGCTCTTCCTCCTCCTCCTGCTTCTCCCCCTCCTCTTCCTGCTCCCCTCAATGCTCCTCCCTTGCCTTCCGGTCTTCGACCTCTCATGAGGTCTGAGCGGGGGCCGCACTGGCCACCGCCCCAGCGGCCCTCCGCCGTCTTCTTCCTGTGCCGCGCACGCCGACGTGGACGCTCATCCACGAGCCCTCGAGCCCTCCTCTTCCTCCCCCTCCCGCCCCGCGGTGCCTGCGGCTCGGGAACGCGGCTCCCCGCAGCGCCGCCCGCCGCGCAGGACTTCAGCTACGGCCACGCCTTCCAGTTCCTGGTCTCGAACTACAAGGAGTGGAGAGGTCGGGAACTGGAGCGCATGCAATACCCGTGGCGGGCCCTTCTTCAAGCCCAGGACTTCTTGAGGGTCGGGGGCGACGTCGGGGTTGGTGTGGTGTACACCGTATACCTTTTGTTCCCCCCGCTCTCCCAGGGAAGCAACGCAACACGCATACCACAGGATCCCGACATGCGCCAGGATCCGCTTGCCTGCGCGAGTTTCAGTGCGGGGCCCGGAAAAAGGCGACGGCGTACAGAGGCCGGCTCCTTGGAGAGGGGGCCCCACATCCGCAGCCTTGCCCCCTGCCGCTGCGGACCCAGGCCACGGCACCCGCCCACGGGGCCCCCCCTTCCCAGCACCGCGCCGACGGGGCCCCCGAGGTCCGTAGGGCAACGAGGCCTGTGCACGACGGTCCTCGGAAGTAGGTATGTCTTGCATTCCCAGATCCCTAGCTGCGGCAAGCGCCTTCCTGCTGCACGAATCGATGTCATTCTGCGGTGCGTTGTTACTATATCAGAGAAACTATGGATTCGGTTTGTGTCGGGGGTTCGGTTTTCTGCTATGCCTGGCGGCCCATAGGGGCCGGACGGATCGCGAGGAGGCGGAGGAGGGGGATGATGATGATGATGATGATGATGATGATGATGATGATGATGATGATGATGATGATGATGATGATGAGGAGGAGGAGGAGGAGGAGGAGGAGGAGGAGGAGGAGGAGGAGGAGGAGGAGGAGGGGCCATCTGTGGTTGTGGCTCCCCGCGTTTCTCCGGCCTGCCTCTCTCCCCTCCCCCTCCTCCCTCTCTCCCTAAACCCCCCTCCCTCCTCCTCCCCCCGCCCCTCCCCCCGAGGGCCTGAACCCCATCTACTTTATCCGCCTTCCTACTTCATGTCTTTACCTGCTTCGTCCGACCGACGTGTGCATATCCACTGCCCCAGGCCTGGCCCAGGCCTGGCCCCTCACTCGGTGCTGACAGGTCGTGGGGAGGTTTCGACAGGCGCGCGCGGCCGACGCGCGCGAGTGCCTCGCATGGTGTTGTTTGATTGGGATCGTGCCGCCCCCCCAGCAAGCGCGCAAGAGGGGCGTTCGACTGAATTCGACGCGCGCGCGAAGAGGTCCACGCGATTTGATTTCAAACGCATGTTGAAAGCCAATGCTTTCCGTAATGGTAATCAACGACGCAACACTGTTGCTCTTTAGTGAAATGCGTGTTTCGAGAACTTCGATCGTGCAATCCCTGCCATACCTACGGTATGCGCGCGTTCGACGCCGCGCGCGTGTAGAGACTGCATTTGTTTGACAAGGAGTTGTTGTATAAGCATGAGATGTGATACGCGAGCGTGCGCGCATAGTATTGTTTGACAGTGATGAGGGGGGGGGCGATACCGGCCTGCCTTGGATGGTGTGAGTTCAGGTTTCAAATCAGCGATGGGGCGAAATCGCGTGTAAATTGCAGCGACCCAGGGGGGGGCGGATGAAGCCAGGGGGGGCCGAAACTATCATAAAGGAGACTCTGCGTTGTATAATTTAGGCAGCGACGAAGCGGCGACGGGGCGGCGACGGCGAGCATGGAGACGCCAGACCGCCACCCAGGCCCAGACGACGGGCGGCGACGAGGCGGCGACGAGGCGGCGACGGCGAGCATGGAGACGCCAGACCGCCACCCAGGGCCAGACCACGGGCGGCGACGAGGCGGCGACGATGCGGCGACGGCGAGCATGGAGACGCCAGACCGCCACCCAGGGCCAGACGACGGGCGGCGACGAGGCGGCGACGAGGCGGCGACGGCGAGCACAGAACCGCTAGGTCGCCACCCAGGCCCAGACGACGGGTGGCGACGGGGTGGCGACGGCCAGCATGGAGACGCCAGACCGCCGCCCAGGCCCAGACGACGGCCGGCGACGAAGCGGCGACGGGGCGGGGACGGCCAGCATGGAGACGCCAGACCGCCACCCAGGCCCAGACAACGGGCGGCGATGAGGCGGCGACGAGGCGGCGACGGCCAGCACGGAGCCGCCAGACCGCCACCCAGGCGCACCGCTTTTTTCTGAGAAGAGAAGTGAGAAACCCTAGGTGCAAGCTCTGGTTGGGGAGTACCCGTCTGTCGTTGAAAGTAGGTATTTCGGGATTCCCAGGTTTCAATATACTTTAAGTGCCTTCCTACTTCAATGATCGAGTGGCTTCACCTTTTCCGTTCTCTTTCAGGGGCGGGCGGACACCCACTGTACTTTCAACGCCTTCCTACTTCATGTTTTCTACCTACTTCTTCCGACCGATGGGTATATATATATATATATATATATACTCTAGCACCCCGCAGATGCCGATGAGAGTGCGGGGGCCGGCCCGGGGTGGGTCGTGGGTGGGTCGCGGGTGGGTCGCGGACTGGGTCGCTGGTGGGTTCGCGGGTGGGGGGTGGGGCGCGGGTTGGTCGCGGGTGGGGCGCGGGTGGGTCGCGGGTGCGTCCCGGGTGCATCGCGGGTGGCTCGCGGGTGGGTCGCGGATGCGTCGCGGGCGGCTCGCGGGTGGGTCGCGGGCGGGTCGCGGGTGGGTCGCGGGCCGGGTCGCGAGTGGGACGACGACAGCAACATGCAAGAACAAGAAGAAGAAGAAGAAGAACAACAACAACACCAATCAGTTTAAGACTGTTCGTTCGCTCTTATCTGCTCGAGTGTCATTCAACGTGCATGTCCCGAACCCTCGATACCCGCCCTCTTCGCCTTCGATCTTACCACTCTTGGTGGGTATATCTCTCTATATATATATATATATATATATATAGATATTGCTTCATGAGTCCTGGGTGATTAGCCAGGAAGTTTCCAGCGAGAGAGCGATTCCTAAGCAAATTTAAGGAAGTCCCCAACGCGCGATTCCTGAATAGCAAGAGCGCGGCGCCTCAGTAAATTGCGAGGAATTTTCAGGCGGGAGCGCGATTCTTGAGTACATTGCGAGGAATTCTCAAGTGGGAGCGGGGGACCGGAATACATTTCGAGGAAGTATCAAGCGGGAGCCGTTGTTGTCGTTGTTGTTGGTGTCGCTGTTGTTGTGAACCGGGGACCAGGGGCACAGTTTGAGGAGGAAGGTTTCCCTTGATCCCCAAAAAAGGGTGCGAGCGCTGGGAGGGGCACTTCAATTGAAAAATACAATGTGCACCGGAGGTGGTGGATCAACAATAACTGTTATTCAGTAATGAGCGTTCAACAACAAACAATAACGCAACAGCATTCCGCACCGTGGAACCCCACTTCAGCCACGCACACAGGGACAGTGAATGACCATTCGGGCCTCGCACTTATGTATATACGTGTATATCTGCGCATCTGAATATATACACAAACATATACACTTTATGGATCGGGGCCTTGGGGGGCGTCAGCCCCATAAAAGTATTGTTATTCTCTCCAGGCCAGAACGGTGGTGCACACAATAGAGTCGGGTCTTGTTCTCCAGAGTTTCGTGGGGCATGAGCCCCTCCCCAAGCCCTGCACCCCCTCCAACAGGTGGGGAGAGGACACTCTACTACTCGGATGATGATGATGAGGAGGAGGAGGAGGAGGAGGAGGAGGAGGAGGAGGAGGAGGAGAGTAGGAGAAGGTGGAGAAGGAGGGGGAAAATGAGGAGGAGGGAGAGATGATGGAAAGAGGAGAAACCAGACCACCGACGTCATGATTTGTTCAGAACGTCGACCCCCAGAGGTCTCGACCCATTCCCCCGGACCAGTTTTTCATCCTGAGTCGTTTCCTTGCGGTCCCAAGGGCCTGTGAGAGCCCCCAGAGACCGAGAATAGAGAAAAACCTTTCGCCGTCATGATTTGTTCCTAACTCGAGGGGGTCTGGGGATGAGGATCCCCAACCTCCGTCTCCCTCGTGAGGAGGCCGTCGTGACGTTCACGCTGCTGGCGAGAGAAGCGGGTGCGCAGGCCGCCCTCTCATTCAGAGGGAGGCGGGCCGGAGGGGAGGGAGGGAAGGAGGGAGGGTGAGGAAAGGGAGGAGGAGGAGGAGGAAGAGGAGGAGGAGGAGGAGGAGGAGAAGGAGGAGGAGCAGGAGAAGGACGAGGAAGAGGAGGAGACGAAAGGAGGAAGAAATGGAGGTCTGAGAGAGAAGGGATGAAGTGGGAGGGAACGGGCAGAGAATCGGGGGGCCTCAGGAGGATTGTCTCCAATATCACCTCTTGCTCCCCTTCCTGATGTTGAGGTCCGCCTAGGGGCGTTTGAGCCCCCATGGCATATGCCCGCTTCTTAGCGCACTCGAGGGACTTGGGTGAATTATTTGTGGTTTGCTATCTTCCGTCCGCAGGCCTGAGTTGAATTGACCCGTGCCCCTGATGAGCCCGCCGCCGCCGCCTCCTCCCCCTCCTCCTTCCTCCTTGCGTTTCAGCGCTTCGTGGCCCCATAGGGAGCTCCACCGCACCCACTTCGGAACACCCTTCACACGCTTCGTGGCCCCATAGGGAGCCCCACCGAAGACCCCAGTGGCTAAGCTCGCACGGCACCACCGCGCCCATTTTGGCACACCCTTCACACGCTTCGTGACCCCATAGGGAGCTCCACCGAAGGCCCCAGAGGCGGCGCTCGCATGACACCACCGCGCCCATTTCGGCACACCCTTCATACGCCTCGTGGCCCCATAGGGAGCTCCACCGAAGGCCGAGTGGCTGCACTCGCATGACGCCACCGTACCCATGCCGGCACGACCCTCACACGTTTCGTGGCCCCATAGGGAGCTCCACCGAAGACCCCAATGGCTGCTCGCATGACACCACCGCACCCATTTCGGCACACCCATTCACACGCTTCGTGGTCCCATAGGGAGGTCCACCGAAGGCCCCAGTGGCGGCGCTCGCATGACACCACCGCACCAATGTCGGCACACCCATCACACGCTTCGTGGCCCCATAGGGAGTTCCATCGAAAGACCCAGTAGGGACGCTCGCATGACACCACCGCACCCATGCCAGCACACCCCACACACGCTTCGTGGCCCCATAGGGCAGTGGCTGCGCTCGCATGACACCACCGCGCCCATTTTGGCACACTCTTCACACGCTTCGTGGCCCCATAGGGAGCTCCACCGAAGGCCCCAGTGGCTGCGCTCGCATGACACCACCGCGCCCATGTCGGCACGCCCCTCACACGTTATGTGGCCCCACAAAGAGCTCCACCCAAGGTTTCGTGGCCCCATGGGAAGCTCCACCGAAGGCCCCAGTGGCTGCGCTCGCATGACGTCACCGCGCCCATGATGGCACACCCCTCACACGTTTCGTGCCCCATGAGGAGCTCCACCGAGGACGATACCAACAATTGCGTTACTCACAACTGCATATGGTAGGGTCCCTCACC